TTAGAAAATATATATCTTTATAATATTTACAGACAAAAATACGATGTTTTTAAACCAGTAATTATTCTTAATTCGAAATTGACATTTTTTCCCTTGACATGATTAAAAATTCACCCTCATCCCTTGAAAGTAGGAAAATATATCAAAATTTAATGTCGGTTGGCGCCACTTGTCTGGAAAAACACTTTTTTCGCAGAAAATTTTGTCAAAATCTTGGAATTTTAGCAAAATTTTAAGAAAAATCTAAGAAGTTTCCCCTCCTTCGAACCTTATTGATCCTTATTTTTTATGGATGAAGATTTCTTTTATTCAAGGTTATCATGATCTTGCTCCTTTTCTTCATTTTCTTTATTTTCTTCATTCTCCTCATTTTCTTCATCTTCCTCATTTTCTTTATTCTCCTCATTTTCTTCATTCTCCTCATTTTCTTCATTCTCCTCCTTTTCTTCATTCTCCTCATTTTCTTCATCTTCCTCATTTTCTTTATTCTCCTCATTTTCTTCATTTTCCTCATTTTCTTCATTCTCCTCATTTTCTTCATTCTACTCCTTTTCTTCATTCTCCTCATTTTCTTCATTCTCCTCATTTTCTTCATTTTCCTCATTTTCTTCATTCTCCTCCTTTTCTTCATTCTCCTCCTCTTCTACATTCTCCTCCTTTTCTTCATTCTCCTCATTTTCTTCATTCTCCTAATTTTCTTCATTCTCCTCATTTTCTTCATTATCCTCATTTTCTTCATCCATCTCATTTTCTTCATCTGGGGGGGGTGTTGTTAATTTCAGATTTTTACTTTTGTTCTTGCTTATCAGTTATTTTCCCTTGTCCATTTCGCCCCCTCCCCCTCTCCCGGCCCTTTTCCCCTTGCTAAAAAATCCCACTTCCTTCCCTGTGAATCTCTAACCATAGTCTTAAAATAAACATTTAACCATTAAGGCATTATAGTGCTGGCTGGACTTTTCAAATTCTTATTAATTCTCTCATCCATCAATCAATGACATTTTTATTTATTTCTCAGTGAATTAATTCTTGTATCGTTTGATCCATTTATCAGAGAATTCTTTCATCCATTAATAAATGCTTTTTTTAAATTCTTAAATTATTTGTCAATTAATTAATTCTTGTATCTTTGATACATTCATCAAAGAATTAATTCTTATAATAATTCTTTCATCCATCAATGAAATTTTTATAAATTCTTGATTTATTTCTCAATGAATTAACTCTTGTATCATTTGATTCATTTATCAAAGAATTAATTCTTTTATTCATTCGTTCGTCTATACAATGAATTAACTATTTTATTCATCCTTTCAATGTGTCTTTTTTTCATCCTGTCAGCCTTCAATAAATTTATTCTTTTATCAATTAATTTAGTTATCAATGAATTGATTAATTTTTTTATCCATTCATATTAAATATGTTCTTCTCAAAGGACATTTGATATTTTTTAGCGTCTTTTCTTTCAACATTCGATTTTAAAATGTAAACATTTTTTCAAAAATCGTGGTACACTGTATTAAGATAAAACCGCCACGAAGCGTTGTAAATTCTTGATATTGTGTGTATATATATGGAAGCTGAATGTTTTATGCTAGATTGTACGAGGAACATTATTTATTGTCATCAGAGAGTGAGAAACCTTTCTTTGAGGGGGGATCCTACCCCCCCCCCCTCCCCATTTTTACCCTTCTGACACAAAACACATCATACATTCCTTTTTTGTCAACCCCTGTTTCTCACTTATTTCTATTTTGGTCTTAACATACAATAAAATTAATTATAAAAGTGTTTTTTAACAAGCAGACGAACCCCTCCCCCATTCTCTGGCATCCCTTTTTTGTGAGAAGTGGTGATCCCTGAAAGAAAAGGACAATATGAGATTGAATGTGGATGAATAATAGTATCAATATTGTTTATATTTATGCTGATTATCACCATTAATATAATATCTTTATATTTAATCAAATATTTATTTATTTATAAATAAATTCATGCAAAACGCAATGCAAGAATAGAAAGCGGTAAACGTAATCGTTTCCAAACGAATCAGCGAAGATATTTAAAGTTAAGAACTTATTTTTAAATAGTACACAGAAAACCTACACAGCCAATTAAAATAAAGATTTCCAAATTTTTGAATAATAAGTTTTTGATTCTGATCTCGTCCCTGCAGCGCAATTTTTTCCAACTTGAAGCCCTAATTAAAATATGCTATTATTGTCGTTTTTATACAAAACAATCCTTTTCATTCCAATGCGATCGTTTTTAAAATAATAGTTATCATTCCAAAACGATCGTTTTTATTTCAGAACCATCGTTTTCATTTAAAAACGATCGTTGTGTTTTTTCCTCTTAAAAACTACCAAAACTAAGTTTCATTCATTCAAAAGCGATAGTTTTCAAAAACGATCGTTTTCAAAACAATTTTTAAAATTTTTTATCGTTTCTTAATAGTCAAAACTGCCCATCCCTTTGTGTTACAAAGTTTATTTAGTGAATATATATCCACGAACTACTACTGTGTTCTATGATATATGTCCAGGAACTACTACTGTGTTCTACTATGATATATATACAGGAACTACTACTGTGTTCTTCTATGATATATATCCAGGAACTACTACTGTGTTCTTCTATGATTTATATCCAGGAACTACTACTGTGTTCTTCTATGATATATATCACGGAACTACTACTGTGTTCTTCTATGACATATATCCAGGAACTACTACTGTGTTCTTCTATTATACATATCCTGGAACTACTACTGTGTTCTTCTATTATATATATCCAGGAACTACTACTGTGTTCTATGATATATATCCAGGAACTACTACTGTGTTCTATGATATATGTCCACGAACTACTACTGTGTTCTTCTATGATATATATCCAGGAACTACTACTGTGTTCTTCTATGATATATATCCTGGAACTACTACTGTGTTCTATGATATATATCCAGTAACTACTACTATGTTCTATGATATATGTCCACGAACTACTACTGTGTTCTTCTATGATACATATCCTGGAACTACTGTGTTCTATGATATATATCCAGAACTACTACTGTGTTCTATGATAAATATCCAGGAACTACTACTGTGTTCTATGATATATATACAGGAACTACTTCTGTGTTCTTCTATGATATATATCCAGGAACTACTACTGTGTTCTATGATACATATCCTGGAACTACTACTGTGTTCTTCTATGATATATATCCACGAACTACTACTGTGTTCTTCTATGATATATATCCAGGAACTACTACTGTGTTCTATGATATATATACAGGAACTACTTCTGTGTTCTTTGATATATGTCCAGGAACTACTACTGTGTTCTTCAATGATATATATCCAGGAACTACTACTGTGCTCTTCTATGATATATGTCCACGAACTACCACTGTGTTCTTCTATGATATATGTCCAATACAAGTTTATGCTTTGCAACACTGAATAGAGATTTCAAACTGGGAAATTCAAACAGAATTTCTAAAAAGGAATATATTATACTGGTATATATATATTATACTTGTTCAACATTTAATGTCTAAACTTCTTATCAGAAATACGAAATCATAATAAAGAATAAATTTTACATTTTATTTCATCAATTTATTTCATACTTGTACTGTATCCCTGTAATCCTGTAACCCTGTATTCCTGTATCCCTGTATCTCTGTATCCCTGTATCCCTGTATCCCTGTATCCCTGTATCCCTGTATCCCTGTATCCCTGTATCCCTGTATCCCTGTATCCCT